TAATGTTGATCGCTCACCGTCGCACAGAATCCCATGAAGCTGATACTTGGCCAAAAACGCCAGCCAGTTCACACCCTCTTGTTGGTATTTGCGTAGCTCCACATTCAACTTGATAGGGATTTCATACGGTGTGACCTTGCTGCCGTCTAGCAATTGTGTCAAGAACTCGCGCTCCGATTCACGCTTCGCCAGCAACTCTTCCGAAAACCCAGGCGGATCGGGCAAGCCAGCCTGCGAAGCTGATAAGCACCAAGAGAGAAGTTGGAGAGTTGGATAGACTTGCCTCGAGAGGTACCATCCTTATAAGCGATGCAAACGTATTGGTCGCAACGTACCGACAATCGTTGTCATTGTCGCTCATCCGTCCAAGTACGGGCACAATCAAGAAAATCACATAGGGCAACACCTTCAAGTCCAGTTTTTGCACAATATCTATCGTCTTCAACTTAGTACCCATATCATCTGCGACTAAACACCACTCACGATAAATGAGCTCCATTGTGCCCTGTCGGTTTTCCAACACAGTCGTATCACCCAAGAACGAAAGAACTTCCTCGACGACGAAGCGCATACCCTTGATCGTGATTGTACCACAGAGCGTGGCGAGGGACCGACTCGCCGCTTGGCGTACAAGTGCATACTTGCTCCGTAACGCCCGCGCGATCGAGGGAAAGAGTTCGACGACCCGGTCATGCAGGGATTCATCCAGACTCGGTACCACAACGTGTAACACAGTAAGGCTGTCAACCACTTGTTGTCCCACCGCGTCGGCTTTTTCGATCTTCTTGTCCCCATCAACACCTACGTCCAGTTAACACAAAGCCTAGCGACAGATAACGGCGAGCTCACCTTCACCAAACGCATCCGCCAACCCGCCGACCATCGAATCCCACATCTGCTTCAACCGCGTAAACAGCTCAGCCCCAAACAACTCTCCAAGCCTCATCAACGCAAGCTGCGCTCCGCGCTTCACGATTCTCGCCTTGGCCGCCTCGGGCGCTTCAGCCGCGTCGTCCTTGGCCGCCCGACTCGACTGGGACGGTTTGGTCGCCATGAGTTTGCAGGTGAGCACTCCGGCGTGTACGCGTCGCGATTGGGAAAAGACAGGAGTTACGTCTGTGTCTTGACACACAAACGCGCAGAGATTTTTCACGATTTTTTCAGCGGGCATGGCGGCTAGGCCTGATGTGGGGGTTGTGCAATCTGAGACAAAGGCTGCGACGGCGTTTGCAGACCGAGTTTGGATATCTAGGTTGTCTTCAAACTGGCCATGGCTCTTCAGTATCCGTTCGACGCCTTTAGAATGGGATGACACACCTTGACACCATTCATAATACTCCTCACGAGAGGATTCAACTTGGACGGGTACACCCGCAACGCGATCAACGCTCCTGCCACCGCCGCACACACCCTCACATCCAGCTGGCCCTTTACCACTCCATACCTCTCAAGCCCAATCCCAATCCGACCCCTCTTCTCCTCCAATCCACCAAGCTCCTTTTTCCGCCCGCGCGGAATACTCGCCTTGAGCGAATCAAACGTCTCGCCCACAAACTTTTGCGCAAAGCTAAACGTAAACGCATCTTCCTGTTTACCCTCTGGATCGATTCGGTCCGGAAGAGTTGGGAGTTTAGATGCAGGTACGCGCGCGTCGTCGGAAAAGGATTGAAGGAGAGCTCGACAGTCGAGCGCGAGCGTGCGGAGGTGGGCGCCCATTTCGTGGTACGAGGCTGGACAGTCTTGTTCGAGAAAGGTGAGTAAATGGGTGGAGCATTCGGATGCGAGGGGAGAGGTTTGAGTGAGTGTGGGTG